TTGTTTAGAAATCTATTCATTGGTAATAATTGTTTTAGAAATAAGTAATGATTGTTTTGCTTCATTCTTCATTTGAATAATGACATTCAAATTTGCTTAGTGGCCGTTATAGTTAAGATGTATGTTTTCCAAATTCAGGGTTTATTCCATAAACACCATGACACAATAGTAGTACTGTGGGCATTGCAAAGTCTTATGCCAAATCAAACACCAACTTTTCACTACTGTATTTTTTAAAACAATGCAGAAATTATTTTCTGCAGATCAAAGATTTGTTTACCTTGCAAGGTTCATGTATACTCTGCAAATCCAACGCCTCTGCCATGATGCATGCCATGATGCCACATATTCTTTGATGCTGAGCTTTAGTCAAGTTATTCAGTGCGGCCGTTAGCTGATCTACTGGAGTCAACCATGCATTGATTGCAGGTGTGGCCGTACTCAGTAGATTACTATCAAACCTAAAAAGTAACAATTTCAAATTTTAAGTATTTGTTATAGTGACCATTTAGTGACTTATACCAAATTTCATTCTCACATATTTTATTCTCTTAATTTATCAAATTTCTAGCTACAAACAAAATGTTAATATTTTTTCATATTTGCGAAACTTACACTAGTCCACTGGTAATCTCAGCATAGCTTTGTTTAGGCGGAGATGGAACATTAAACCAAACAGTAGAGATGGTGAATACACAATTTGAAGAACTTCCTGGCAGATCCCTTGGCTCATCATTACTTGTTTCTTCAACAACTTCAGGCGTAGAAACTGAAATCGTTGACCGTACTGAATCGTCGCTGCTAGCCACATCGTCATCAACACAATCTTCACCTTTTATGGTGTCATCAGAACTAGCATCGTTGCTATGGAAATAGAATTTCGGTTTCGCTTTTGGTTGGTTAGATTTAGCTGTGCTGGCTTTATAGACAGGTCTGGTCCTTGGGCAAGAGTCAACATTTGTAGGCTGCGGACTACTGATTAATGTTATATCTTCATCAACAGAATCAAAGCCAAGCCTCCTCGCAGCTTTCAGTCCAATGTCGTCAATCCCGCACTCTAACATTATCCATCCTATTTTTTCTTCTTTTGAATAAACAGAGTCATCACTTTCTACAGAATCAAACCGACATCGCTTAATCCATCTACCTTGTTCGTAAGAGCTTGAACTGGCTGGATCAAATGCAAACATAACTTTGGACTGCTCCTCGGCCACGGCAGTCACAACAACTTTTGACAGGTCTTCATCCGGTGTTGGTAATTTCCGGAACTGACAATGCAATTTAGCAACTTGCACTTGCGCAGCTAACTCTTCAGTCTGGATCTCATCAAGTAAATCACCGGATCCTTGAAACTTGACTCGATTCTCATCATGTTTCTTACCACCAGACGTGGACTGCGGTGATTCATGATGTCCAGCAGGTAAAGCTTTGAAGGATCTGTCTCTCATCAGTAAATCGGCACTTATATTATCAGCCGATAAAGCTAACAGTGAAACAAATGATTTCTGACGAACGTTTCCTGGGTACGCTGGTAGACATGTTTCTTCTAAAGAAGCCTGGAAAATGCACAGATTGACCTGCATGGGAGAGATAGACAGAAATATTTTTTAGACTCTGTTTAAAATTCTACACTGTATATGCTCATTTACATGCATAAACAAATAACACCCTCCAGCAGTGTGCAACATTGCTTTGTATTAAATAAAACACTAATATCAGAGGTACATTACTTGGGGTTTGCAATGCGCATAGTACTGTATGGTGACACCATTCAAGATCCCATTCAAGTCTCATCTCGTAGATAACGAGACTGATGCTACGACCTTCTGACATGACATAGGCGGTTTGTAATAAAACAATTAAACATGTATTGCCACATTCATAGTGAAAAAATGTAATACATCAAAAATGTACAGAAAATATAGTTATTGTAATCCGTCATATCGTGAGCAGCTATTTTGATCCACCTGGACATCCTTGTATCCTAGTTACCTCGGATATGCGCATTTGCATTTTTCTGAGTTGAAACGGAATGTGAGAGCGAGATTGAAACGGGATCTTGGTATCATGTCACCGTAGTTGCAAACCCCAAGTAATGTACCTCTGGTAATAATAACATAACATTTCATATATTTTCTGGTACACTAGAATATCACAACTTATTTCATGGCAAGATTAATTCTAAACTCTTTAAAACACTCTGAACAGGGAGAACTATTTTGTCTAGATTTAGTTTAGTTAGTTTTTCTCACCCTAGCTAGAGAGACAAATACTTGAATACTTGATACTTTACTGGCATTTGATGCCACAGTAGACCCTGTTGTTGGAGAGTCTTCTTTTTCTTCATGTTTTGGACTTGGACTTGAACAGTCATCAGTGGTTATCTTGTGATGGTCTTTCACTTCACCAAGGCAATTAAAATGTAGATTATCTAGCAGAGTTGATGGATGAATATTGCTGACTTGTGGTGTCAGTGATTCAACATATCTGAAAGAAATAACAATAAAAACATCAAATAAACTGTAAGAATTGAATTCACATTGAACTATGTGATCAATACTTTACCTGCTGAAAGACTCTATGGATACACCTAAATCAACAAGAATTCAAAAATATCACTTTTCACCAAAAATGACATAAATAATCATCAAAATTAGAGAATTAAAGATATCATTACAAAATGAACAAATCTGAGAGAGGACCACATGTAGTACCTATATATGTAATATCAAAGCAATCGGACTTGCAGTTTTTAACAAGAAGTAGAAAATATCACTTTTTACCAAAAATATTCACTAAAATTAGAGAATTGAAGATATCATCATGAAATGAACAAATCTAAGAGAGGTCTACCTAAGGTACATATACACCAAGTATCTAAGCATTCAGGCTTGTAGTTTTCAAGATGAAGTCAAAAAAATAAAACATTGGACACGGATGACGACGATGGACAATCACTCATATGATAAGCTCCGCTTGACAAAGTCGACAGCGGAGCTAAAAATTCATTTCATGATCATCAATGGCTGAGATATTAAATGAACAGAACTGCACAAGCATGCATTCTATTATTGTTCACTGCATGCCCTATGTGAAATATCCAGTCATTCAAATGCAATATGGCATTAGATCACGGTAGTACTTTATGACAATTTATTTACACTAGCTTGCTTGTGAATGAGCACCATGATTTTGGCAGGTCTCAAAAACTGGTTGATATGTGAACATGCATGAATACAGTCTCACCTTTGTAGAGCTTCTACCATGAGAGGTGACACCATGGCATCTACAGATCCTCTGACCTGTACAATGGCTCTGGTTTTACACTCATCACTTTCAGTCAGTGGTTCATTAGTTACCTCCTCTTCATCTACAAAACAAACATAACTTCAAAGAATCAACAAGAAGCACACATTTACATGTATTTTGACTGTAATTATAATTGGACAATAACTTGTACTTTGACATAAATATGAATATTGTCTTTCATGGTATTTAATGTGCCATGTACAAGTGGAAACCAACCATAAGTGTATTTTATGGGCCAAGTACTGTAAAATTAAATCAAAAGTCTTGATTTCTATTAAAATGATACAATGAAAGAGGAAGGATGAGAATTATATTAAAGTATCTACATGAGAAATGGTGAAGTTTTGGTTCTCAATAATTAAAAAAATGACAATGACTTCCAATGCAGATTTTACAGTACAAATACAAATATTTTGTACTGGTAATAAGTAACATTTAAATTATAAAAAAAAAATATAACTTCTTTGGAATTATTATTTTGTTTATTTCAGTTATCAGGAATAAAAAGTTTGCAAGAAAAAACTGTGGCGCATGTGTGAAGACCTGGTATCAAGATTTACCCAGAACACACTGGTATACTGTATATTAACTTACAGCATATGTATGTTTATGTACACTTACCTTGTTCAGCTATGTTTTCTGGCCGCTTCTGGTAGACCACCTTCCTATAAAGTCCTACCAATGTATCCGACTCCGACTCTGAATCAGACTCAAAACCACTCAGAGAACCATCATAGTTATCCCTAGTTGTAGACAGCTTGTCATGTAATAGTCGAATGCCAAGGCCTTTCTGGTGAAGGGTATACAGTGGCAGCTGGATACTTTCATACGAAGCCACACTCCCTAATGATGTTCTTGCGTTGGAAGAAGATCTAGAGGCTAGTTGTTGAGATGGAGGTAGTGTTTGCCAGTAATCACATTGCATCTGTGAAAGATGGCTGGCATAGCATGACATGAGTCCAGGGTATTCTGTCATAGGCTCGCCAATCAGTGCTGCACCTCTGGTAAAAATCTCTGCCTGTTCTAGATGCTCAGGGAGTAAATCAGTTGGCGATGAAACCGCTGAGACAAACGAGAGCCCTGATGATGTAGACGTGGACTTTGATTTTGGTTCACTGTCAGTGACGAAAATGCTTTCTGACTGACTTGTAGAGGGGCTATCACTCTCATACTCTCCCTCTAAATCCACAACTGGAGCACCAGGAGCAGAAAGTCCCATTATCTCTTGCATCAACTTCTGACTAGCTAGACTACTAAACCGATCTTCACTGGAAAATGGAGGAGTGTAGCTGCCATCTTCACTGGCAGAAAAAAAATCACTCTCAGCTAAAGATGTCTCTGACTGGGTCTGTCTGATCTGTCCAAGTGATCCCCGAGGTGGAAGGCCGCTAACTCTACTTCCAACAGATTGTTTTGATCTTGATGCCCTGGCTTTCTCAGATGGTAAGCCATCTTGGCTATCCAATGAAAAGTGTACAGAGCTCTTAGATTCCTCAACAGGACTTGCCATTTGTTCCACCTCCCCCATGTCAAAGCTATGGTGCCTGATGTGTTGAGCAGACTTGTCCCAATATAAGGCCTCCACTGGTAAACTATGGCAGCTGCCAACCAGAGGTGGTTGCCCACCTAGGTATTTCACATGTAAGTCATGCCCCGAGCTGTGAATACTCGATTTAGATCGTAGACTAGATTCCCTACTGGCCTGTCTGTGTTGAGTTTCTGAAGACCTCCCACCATGTGTCTGATCAGTGACTTCTGCTTGTGTGGACATCTTATGCACCAAGCCATGTGAGCCATGCCTGCCTGATGCTGGGACTCTAGCACTTGCACTACTACTGCCACGACTTCTTGCTTGAGGACTGAAAGTTTGTACATAGCCTGGGGTAAATTTGAAATTTGGTCTTGTTGGCGAGCCTTCCGGACTTCTCCTTCTCTCACACACAGCAAAAACAAGTTGTCCCTCTTCCAGTAGACTCTGCCCATATGCATAACTCTGGTCACCTTCCTCTCCTGGTACCACAGTGAACAGAGTATCTGACTGGCCCCCGTTTGGAGAAAATTTATTCTTGTCAAAGAAATTTACACCATTGCTGTTATTCCCAAAAAACTTGCATCCACCCAGGCAGCCACATTTCCCGATCACTTCTGGGTTGAATACAGTATTATCCATTGGCCACAAAAACCACAATCGTTTTGTTTTCCTGTCGTGCAGGTTTAGAAACTTTTCCTGTAACTGGTGCAGCTGCGGATGCGAAAGTGGCATAGCAGCGTCGATGACAATTGGCCCGAGGGAGACACCACCGGCTTCTATCCATGTTTCATAATCTGAATGGTTGTCATAATTGTCACTACTGTGAGCGATGTATTGTTTCATTTCTATGTTGCGTATCATTACAGTGACTCCCTTCTCAGTATTAATACCATGTAGATTACATGTAGCTATTCGGAGAGGATAAAGCTGAAAAGAAACACAATCAAGCATTACTGTAGAATACTTTATTTTCACTTGGAATTTATTTTCGCTATTTTCGCTGAAAGGATGATTCCGTGAAAATAAAATTCAGCGAATATACTTTTTTTCCTATATTTCACATTAAACTCATCAAAAATCAGTGAAAATAAATTCCATACAAAATGCCC